AGGCACGATGATGGATCTTCCTGGTGATCGGACGTACGTTGTCATAGGGTGAACTCCTCAAGTGGGGGATAGTGAGGCCCCCCTTATTAGTTTGGGAGGGGGCAATGGGTGAAAATCGAGAACTCGGTGGAAAGTGTGGTGTAGAGGGGTCGGGCCCCTCAAGAACGATGAGACAAAAGGTGTTTATATAGGTTCGGGCCACTGAGAAGCGTAATACCCTACTTCTATGCTTGCTTGATCGACTAAGGATTACAGGTGCTTGCCTCGCCGAGAATCAAGCGTGAGTTGGCTAAAAAACCGATCCCCCCTCATCACTAGGCCTGGACCTCCTTTTATATCTCAAGGGGCTGCCACATGGGCCTAGAAATCCCCCTAGGGGAGAGGGAGGATAATCACATTAAATGCATGTCTTGTTGCTTGCCTTAGAAGCCACTCGCACGCCCGCCGTGGCGTGGATCCCGTCAAATCCCTCCGGCTGACACGGGGGACATGCACGTCATTCACTATTTAATGGGTAAAGACTTTTGGGTCCTTACTTGCACCAGGAAACGGAAACCCCACCCTGGTCGGGTTAGGTGAATCGACTTCGGCTGTGATGCGAAGCTAAACAACCTCTCATCATCACGACATGATAGGGGATGTCAGGCGGCACGCCGCCTGATATGCAGCCAGCACACAGGCGCACTACCCCGGTCACATCGGTCATTCGACTGGTCGTAGACCAGTCGCAGAGCGGTTATAGTCCGGTCAGGCGCACCACACACCGTATTTAATGTGGTGTGGCATGCCCGCTCACATCACCTTAAATGTGGTTAGGTGGGCATTGGGGACGCCCACCTAACCCTGCACACGCGTCATTGCGCGGAGGGGCTCGGGCTCCCCCGACCCCCAAGCAAGGAGGTGGCGGCCGCCGCCCTACCCCGGGCTCAACCCCTCTCAGGGGAGCACCACGTGGGTACCAGGGGCAGCCTCCTCCCTCTAGGCTTGATACCCTCGGGGCCGTATCACCGACATATGTGGTGGAGAGCGAACTGAGGGGCACCATTGTGACTGGAGACGAAAATTGTACTGGGCCAAACATTGTGAAGTGGGCTTTTTTACGTGAGCAATAGTTGGGTTGTGCCTATGCCCCTAGGTCATACGTTGAGATTTCATCATCGAATGGTTGTCCTAATTTTGAGTGATATGGATGAACCACAACTCAGGAAATTGGGTAATAATAGCTACACCTAAGTGGGATCACTTGTATAAAACGGTTTATACGATAGGATACAAACTAGACTATTCTGTAAGTTAGGCAACATAGTGGGGGTAAACTGCAAAGGAATAAGTTCACTTATGTCCCTCAATTGTCATTGAGTCCGAAATTCACCATTACCACAAAACTGGATATAACGCATCCCCAACTTACAAAACCAGTTTGGCAGTATTATTCCAGGTTTTGGCTGACGTGCTGTGTACGTGGCTCCTGGCTATGTCTTCGTCCCACATGGCAATTTGATCTAGAAAAATAAGTAAAACTGTGGGGCCACATGTCAATTATACACAAAACATAATAAAAAATGGTGGGGCCCATTAGGCCTTTCAACCTGCTTCGGGCTCACAATCCGGATGTATATGATTTCACATAATGTGCAAGACAATGTAAATAACATTGTTCGCAATATTGGGTGGGGTTCCATATGGAAGATCTTGGATCACCATAACATACCATGAGTGGCAAGGCTAACCTTGAAATCCATAGCCTATGTAGATGTAGGATAGATGTTTCCATCAAGAGCGAGTTGATCAAACTCTTTGGTGGCCATTTGAGACCTACATGTCACTACTACAACAAGGATTTTTCCGTGCGGATGAAATCGATTTTCGCGTGCGGAAGATTCGATCATCTAGAAGAAATCGTCTGCGAAAATGCACAATTTTTTCGTGCGGGCGACGCACCCGCACGCGAAAATCGATTGTCGCGTGCGGGCTCTTAAGCCGCCTGCACGGGAAAATGAAAAGTCGAAACAAAAAAAAAAGAAAAAACAAACCCTAACCCTAATCCAGCCGCCGCCGCCGCCGCCGGCACTGCCACCCTAGCCGAGGCCCGCTGCCGTCGCCCCCGCGGTCACCGGCGACGGATCCGCCGCCTGCTACCTTCGCCGACGCTGGATCCGACCGCGTGCTCTCGTCGCCGCTGGGGGGGCATGGGCCCTGTCGTCGCCGCCGCCACCGCCGCCCCCATGCCTCCCCGGCCCTCCGCTGGATCTGCAAGGGGAGGGAGGAGGAGGGGAGCCGAGGGGGAGGGGCGGGGCCGCGCGCCGCCGCCGCCGCCCCCATGCTCCCCTCCGCCGGCGCTGGATGCAAGGGGAGGGTGGGGAGCCGAGGGGAGGGGAGGGGCCATGTGCCGCGCCGTCCACCGCCGCCGCCTGCGCCCGCCGCATGGATGCAAGTGGAGGGAGGGGAGGGGAGGGGCCGCATGCCGCATGTACCATCCGCCACCACCCCCTGCACTCGCGCTGCCGGCCGCCTGCGCCTGTGTGAGAGAGAGAGATCGAGAGAGAGGGTTGAGAGACAAATAGAGGAGTGAGAGAGAGGGTTGAGAGACAAATAGTGGAGTGAGAGAGAGAGAGGTCGGTTAAAATAAAAGAGAAGAGACTTTTCCCAAAGACCCGGACTTAGGCATGCGCGCGGATGGGGAAAAAGCGAAATTTTCGAAGTGGGTAGGAGGGAAACTATTTTTCCATGCGGTTATCTTAATAGATCCGCACAGGAAAATCGGCCCATTTTCGCGTATGGTCCATTTAAAAGGACCACATGGGAAAATCGATTTTCCCGTGCGGTCCTAATTACCGCCCGCGTGCAATCTAAATAGGTCCTTGTCTAGGAAAATTATTTGTATAGTAGTGTGTGAAATACCATAATTGATGGGTTTAATAAGTGTAAATTAATATTTTGTATGACTGTGTGTTGTAATATGATGCAAACTATTTGAATACAAATAAGGAATATAGATTGTATGGACGAATTAATTTGTTGCTAAAAGCATAGTCTACATAATTATGTAGTAGATGCGTTAGACTCCATAGCGTTGAGTTATATTGATGTGTTAGATTGATCTCTGGCCACCGAGTCAGAGAATTGCGCCAATTGGCTTGGCCCACCCCATGCCCACGTGCGCCTAACGATGAGGACCGATTCCCTCGGTCTCAAGCGCACGCTGCTCTCTCTCGTGCAATGATCGGACGCGCTATCTACGTAACGGACTCGCCCCCGATCCCCTGAACGCGCACACATATAAAGGGAACGCTACCCGTTCATTGGTGATGATCGATTTACGGCTTAGCCAAAACCAAAACTCTCAGACTATCGATCTTAAGATGTGTTGAAGGTGTCTTCATCACCGGTGCCTTACAACCACTGCACCAACGCATCTAAGACGACCATATGGCTTCTTCATCCGGGTAGTACACCACCAAATTCCGCATAAGAGAAATTAGGTGATTATGCATAGCCTAAGTTTATGATTTTAAGATTTAACTCCAATATGATGCATATCGAAAAATCATTCCATGGTGGTAAACACCAATTTAGGTAGACGAGTGAAATCGTTACCTCTGGCATAATCTACAAGTGTATTGTAATATTTCACCATTGTCATCATCTTCCAGAGAGGAATTAAGTGTGTGAACATAATTAATGTGGTTTTTGATGAACCCTGAGTTCCTCTCGACACTCAAGGCTGTTGTTGGCCCGATCATTCGGTGAGTTGTGATAACTACGATTTGGGAGAAACGTTGACGATCCGACTACAACCGTACAAGACGTTGCGTTGCGCCTTAGCGATCGATACACCTCTCCGTGGGTTGTTGAGCTTGCCGGTGCAGATCAACCCTATTCCTGCAAGCAAATCGAAGAAACAAGCAAGAACAAGATAAAAGCAATCTGATATTGCAAATAGGAATTTAATACAAATGATAAGTTGGGGTTCCGAAGAACAAGCGGACGGACGGTCTAGCCGACACGCGCGCTGCAAGCAAGTAGCAATGGCTAAACTTTAATCTATCAAAACCCGAGAAACCCTGAAGGGGTACCTAACTATTTATAGAGGTGGGAGGACGACCAAGAGGGTCCAAGGGTCGTGCTCCACCAGATTGGGGCGCACCCCACATGGGCCCCACATGGGCCAGGGTCCCAAACAAAGTTACAAGCCCATTGGCCCAATACAGGAGACACAACACCTTGCTTCTGTGATTGCGGCCAAACGAGATAGATTTCCGAGATGAGGCTGGATCCGTTGGAAGGAGGACTTTGAGAGCTTTCCATCAAGTACTCATGGGCCCAAAACGGAGCACGTATGTAGATTTGGCGGCCGTTTGAAGTCAACAATGTAACACGTGGCCGAATCAGATTGTAGCACATGGAGGACTTGATCTTGATGTCTTCTTGTTGATTCATGATGTGAGCAATGGTCGTATCCATAGTAGCCATGGTCACATCAGTTTTGAATCTGAACTTGCAAAAAATTAAATACAATTGAAAAGTAATTTGCAACAAAGAAATACATGTCCCAAAGTTGTACTACTTCCGTTTTAGGTTACAAGACTTTCTAGTAATGCCCACATTCATATAAATATTATTGAGAAGTCTTATAATATGAAAATATGAAACGGATGAAGTAGATGTTATTGGGAATAATAATAAACGTTCACTTGGAACATTTACATAAAACTCAGAACTGTATAGTTGCTGAATTTAAGTTTAAACAGTACAACAGGCCAAACTGGTACTGTACAATTTTGAACTAACACAGGGACAGTAGTGCAAATTGAAAAATACGAACTAGACCATTCTGTAAAGTTAGGCAACATAGAAGGGGGCTAATCAGCAAAATCTAACTAAACCTGGGCGGAAGCCCCTTGGGCCTTTTCGGGCTGCTTCGGGCTCGCGCGGGTGGTGGGAGGAAGTGGGCCGGCGGCCGGCCCCTTAGGCCGGAGAACAAAACGGAGAGGGGGTTTTTCAGCCCCGGCACGGTCGTTCTCTCCCTCAGCTTCCGCCCTCCGCCGCCGCTCTATATCCCCCGCCTCCGTCCCCTCCCCTCCCCTCCCCGCCGGCGAGCCCTCGCCTTCCTCCACGCGGCCAGCGCCTAGGTGCTGACGGTTGTTCGCCCCTGCTTCCGTGTGCTGCTGGTCTTGCTTCGCTTCGATTGGCGAGAGCATCATCCATGGCGGAGGCAAAAGGCAAACCGACGTCCACCAAGAAAGGCAGGAAGGCTGCGGCCAGCGCGGTGGCGGTGGGCGACGACATCGACTCGCTCAAGTCCGATGTCGCCTCCTTCGCCTCCTCACTCGGCTTCCTTGGTGCCGCCGCCGCCTCCTCCGGCTTCGACGATTCTGATTTCCGCAAGTCCGGCCCCATAATTCCTCCCAAAACCTCAAAATCCGCGCAAACCACCGACGCCCCCCCAAACCCTAAACCCACCACCACCACCACCAAGAAGCCACATCCTCTTGATATCCATGGCACCAATGCCACAACCAAATCAGTATCAGGTGCTGTCACCACCAATTACCCGCTGATGAAGGCAACGGCTCTGTCCGGGCAGTGGTACGCAGATGCTGGTGAGCTCGAGGCGAGCGTCCTCGGCGCTCGAAAGCAAGTCCTGCCTTCTGTGGGTCTCCAGGAGATGCAGAGGATCTCGGAGGGCAAGCGACAGCTGGCGGAGAAGCTTATGGCGCAGTACACGGTGGAATATGACATGGTGAAGCGGGGTAGCGGCGACCTGAAGCTTCTCGAGATATCGGCAAAGTCTGGCACATCTGCTGATAAGGTTTCAGCATTCACATGCCTTATCGAAGACAATCCAATTGCAAACATGAGGGCACTCGATTCTCTCCTTGGTGAGTTTCAGTATTCAAAATGCTACTAGTAATTCTTTTTTTTCCCCATAACACGAAAATGCTATTCTGTAAAGTATAAGTGATAGGCAGTAAACAAAATATGCAGGTGTAACCGTGTAAGTATAATTGATGATAATTATGGTAACTGTGGATTAGGGACATGTACAACCAGTTCCTCTAAATGTTGTGGCAGCTGCTCTTTCAGATGACTGCGCTACCTAGGAAAATGAAGTGATTCCCTGACAAACTTTGGAACTAATATGGACATAAGATTCATCATCTTCTTTTTATTTTATTTTTTACTGAAGAAAGACTACCAAAGTGATATCATACCATCTGAGATCACTCACTTTGATGATTCTTCATTCTGTGTTCTAAAGGTCATATAACCCTCTTTGTTTGTCGAGTTTAACTATAGATAGAATAGTGCAATGTTAGGTAAAAATTATCATCATTGAGAAGCTTGAAATTCTTTCATGAATCTAAATATCACTCAAATAATAGGCTCCGGCATCTTGGTAACTTTAATTGGTATACAGTTAATGATCTAAATAGATCAACTCAGTAGTAGACATTGAAAATTTATCTATATATATATGTTGATGCATCATACAATATACATACAGGTAATGCAATTATATGTCTACAAGATTCATATTACTTGGATTTATTGTCCATTGATCTGTCATATTGAAATATATTTTGCTCCAGCCGTTGACAGTTTGTTATGCACGTTTTGCCTTTGGAATCATGTTATTTGCAGTTACCTTTTCTTTTTGTTTCTTTTGTCCATAAGTGTGCTAAGAAAATATTTCTTGTGTTGAATACAATTAATCATAACAGGTATGGTTACATCAAAGGTTGGTAAAAGGTATGCGTTCACAGGGTTTGATGCATTGAAGGAGTTGTTCCTCAAAAGGTTAGCACTTGTTTTGCCTTGTTATTTTTCCCTTATGTCTACCTTGACATGAGTTGTGATTTGTGAAAGTATCTGTTTTCTTACCTTGTAAAGCAATTTAATTGTCCCCTTTGCTGTACTAAAACAACTTTACTATATCCTGTTTGCAATTTTGTCTTTGCCATAGACTTCTAGACTTACACTAGTTTAGGCATAGGGCTCTTCCTTACCACTAAGATGGTCATGTTTTCCTTTCTTACACAATTTTTTTTTGGTTATATATTCTGTGCTGATTTGATTTTCTTGGCAGGGTATTACCTGATCGTAAGTTGAAAAGTCTTATTCAGCACCCATTAGATATTTTACCAGAAACAAAAGATGGCTACTCACTTCTCCTCTTCTGGTATTGGGAGGACTGCTTGAAACAGAGGTATTTCTTAAACAACAATAAGTTTGGTTACCTTGTCCAAGTTATCCTGGATGTCAAATGAATTCTACAGTAGGATACGATGGAAACCTTTAATTTACGTGCCTCACCTGCCATATAATGCAAGAGTATCACAGATATGAAAACAATGGTTTGATGTCACGCTTAGCAGCTGATTTATCCTTGTCCCTGATAATTCTATTCAGGGGTTTTAGATAAAGTTATCAACGATGTGCCTTAACACATTAAATACTTCTTTTTGGATTGATTGTTGACAGATACTGAGAGTTTGAATGAAACCTATGGAAAAAGAACACACAGACAATTTTTTTTAGATAATGGATTTATTGAACTCAGCCAACTACATCAAGGTGATACGACTGCACTACAGCCAAAACACACACACCCACACAAAATTAAAGTCAAGTACTTGAAGCAGTAAGGCCAATCAATCCTAGGACTAGACCGCCAACTATGTTCCCGGGTAAAATACTCCTGGGTAAATACTCCATTAGTTATGCTGCCAAACGTAGACACACCGCAGCAAGCAAAACCCGTGAACCAGGCTTTTGTAATGGAGCCAAAGGATCATAATAAGAAAAATAACCTGCAATGGAGAAACTAAAGTTTTCCTATCAAAAACCATGTCATTCGTGCATAACCAAAGCGACCAAGTAGCCACCCTTAACAGGAAATGTGGTTTTAAATCCTTCTGAATCTCCCGAAGCCAAGCACCAAACATATGTCAAACACTGCGAGGTGGGTAAAGACCTGATGGTTAGATAATAGCCCATACTGATCATTCTAAGCAGCATTCGTAAGAAAGGTGTTCAATTGTCTCATTTTGTGACAAAACAACATCCTGAGTGCCTTGCCAGTTAGGCTTACCTAGTTGTCTCTTGTTAGCACCATCCCATGGCATAGGTACCAAAGTAGATCTTGAGATGCACATTCATCACAGACCTTTGTTTTTGTTTTTGTGCCTGCAGGATCATGATGCACATCATCTTTAATTTTTTGTAAAACATAATTGCAGGTACGAGAAGTTTGTTATTGCATTGGAGGACGCATTAAAAGATATGCTGCCAAATCTTAAGGACAAAGCAATGAAGGTTAGCTCAAATTACGTATTTATGAGAAAACATCTTTGCCATTACGTTGGTTTAGGGCAATTATACATAGATACTTGGAACTTGTCCTACTATTTTTGTACATCAGTTAGATACTTGGAAGTTGGAACAATTGAATTTATGTTAGTTATTTGCAAAAGGAGATGTAAAAAGCTATGATTCAATTAGATGTCCTGTAGCTCCAATGGAGATTTGCTTTCCTTTACACAGTGTGATTTTAAGGCTGCTAAGCATTGTTTGTGAAGACAAAATTGTATTCAATTTAATTAAGCTTTGAATTATTATTTGGACTCTGAAATGAGCTTGAAATATTATGGAAATACTACTATCATGTCCATGTCTTTTTCAACAGATCCCCAAGTTTATATATTATAATTACAAAATATAATCGTTTTTTAAAAAGCCATTTTCCTCAAATTTAACTACATGGTTATATGAGACCGGTTGGGCTATATGTACTTATACAAAGATTCACTATTTTTTAAAATAAACTTGCAAATAATACACATGTTTACATATTGAACAGCTATAAAATATCTTGAGTGGGGTGCCCGACCCCCTCTTTTAATATAAAATAAGATGTGTGCCTTTGTAATTCATTTGAATTTGTTGCTGTTATAATGTAGGGTTAAGCATGTTTGGTTGTTAAAATGACATCTCCTTTTCAATATCATGTTTCGAAAGGATTAAATATGGAAATATTGAGTCCAAAAGTGTTGTTCTAACTTACTAGTTTGGAGCCCTGTTTTCCAGTAAATAGGTAGGAGTAGCATATTTGCCCTGTGGAAGATGACCATTTTATTGGGTTAACTGGACTCCCTGGGTGGAAGTCGTAAATATTTAACCAGCGGAACCTTTTCAGTATAAAATGTGAGAATTGGGATTGAAAATCCTGGCTGCAATTTTTCTGTAAACCAGTTTTGAATGCAACCTACTCATTTTGTTTTGGAGAGATAACCAGTAGCTTCAAAGTCAACTCTTGCCTTGAATTGCCTGGTTTCTGCTTCCTTCCAAGATGCAAGGACTTGACTTTTTATAATTTACTCATCCAAGCTCTGTGAAATATACTTATATGTTCTGATTTGTAGTACTAATATCATCACCAAAGCTATTACAGTTACTTGTCCAAACTATTGGAATGTTCTTTCATGAATTTATTTTTGTTTCTTTTTGTTAGTTCTCTTCATGGTTTATGTAAGAGTAAATTACACTAGCGGTCCTTAAACTTGTAACGAAGTTTCACTTAGGTCCACGAACTTGCAAAACGTGCATCGAGATCCTTAAACTTGGTTTAGTGTATCATCCCGGTCCAAAGCCTAGTTTGACCGTGGTCTTGCCTATGTGGCATGCCACGTGGACGATGACTTGGCTAAATTTTCTTTTCCCCTTTTTTTCTTCCCATCTTTTCTCTCCTTCCTCACCTCGGTGAGAAAAATGCAGCAGAAAAGTGGAGAAAAGAAAAAGGATAAGAAGGGAGAAAAAAGAAGGAAGAAGGGAGAAAAAATAAAAAAAATCCATGTCATCGTCCACGTAGCATGCCACGTAGGCAAGACCGCGGTCAAATGAGGATTTGAACCGGGATGATACATTAAACCAAGTTTAGGGATCTCAATGCGCGTTTTGCAAGTTCGTGGACCTAAGTGAAACTTCGTAACAAGTTTAAGGACCGCTAGTGTAATTTACTCTTTATGTAATATTGAATGTGGTTAGATCATGTCTATAACTCTACATGGCCTCTATTTGCAGACGGTTTTTATCCTTTTAAAGGAAAAGGCAGAACAGGAACGCCGGTTACTTACAGCTCTTGTTAACAAAGTGAGATGTCCTTTTTGTACATAATGCAGTTATTTCAACTGTACATATTCTTGGCATTTCTCCATTCTCACTTTAATATATGCAAAGCAAACAGGTTTAGACTGGCTATAAAATACTTAAGATTACATATGAGCAACAACACTAATTGAGTTCTTATGAGAAGTTAACATATGCCTTCTGCAGCTTGGAGATCCTGAAAGGAGAGCAGCCTCAAGTGCGGCATATCTGTTAACAAGTCTCCTATCTGCTCATCCAAATATGAAGGTAAATGCATATATTCCAATAGAAAATACTCTCTCTCATCAAAAATATATTACGATTGACTTTGTCTATGGTCAATATTTTGACTGGATGGAGTTTTAGAGTTATGTTGTTGTTACGAGTTGTCTGTTTTGATTAAAATAAGTTTTGCAATGATTAATATTTTTAAGCCTCACTGAACTATTTGAAAATAATATGCAGATGGTTGTGATAGATGAGGTGGACTCATTTCTCTTTCGGCCACATGTTGGTCTTAGGGCCAAATACCAAGCTGTATGTTGTTTTTAATCTCAACTTTTTATTCTGGCATTGTTTCATAATGTCCACACAAAGTAATAACCTTGATTCTCCTACAGTTAATATTTTGTTTGAAGCTGCAGTACTTTCTAAGTAGAACTGAGTTATCAGTCCAAACTGCCATATAGTCAACAAATCATTTGAAATAGTGAAATATGGTTGTCATGTTGATAGCCTTTTACTTAATGCCATTTGCTAATGTACAGGTCAACTTTTTGAGCCAGATTTTTCTTACCAGTAAGGGTGATGGCCCGAAAATAGCCAAGCGTTTGGTGGATGTTTACATTGCGCTTTTCAAGGTTTGAAATTTTTTCAGTATTGCATAATTAGACTTTCTTTAGGGATAGTCTTATAGTGTTTGGCCTTTGTTGTCTTCTCATCATAGTTCCTTGTATTGCTGCCCCATTTGTCCTTAGAACTTTATATTTGAACTATTTGCCAATACCAAGTTGCCATTTGCCAATCTTTTGACCTTAAGGATTTAAGATACAATTTTTGTTGTTATATCAGGTACTCATGTCTTGCTCTCGTGCTACTGAAGGAGTTAAACACAGCAAATATGGCAAGAAAACTAATGAAAATGGGAAAAAGGAAAAGGGCAATGACTTCAATTCTCATGTAAAGCATGAAGACCCTTGTGCAGGATCAGATTTAGAGATGGACTCTAGGATTCTCTCTGCACTTTTAACTGTACGTCTTGCACTCTGCACAGTGTTTATTTATGTTAATTGCTTACTTCTTTATAGAAGATGCTTTATGGTACTCCCTCCGTCCTAGAATATAAGATGTTTTAGAGTTGGACACGGTTATTAAGAAAGTAGGTAGAGGTGAATGGTGGAGGGTTGTGATTGGATGAGTAGTGGAGGTAGGTGGGAAAAGTGAATGGTGGAGGGTTGTGATTGGATGATTAGTGGAGGTAGGTGGGAAAAGTGAATAGTGGAGGGTTGTGAATTTGTGATTGGTTGGGAAGAGAATGTTGATGGAGAAGTTATATTTTGGGACAAATCCTGAGGGCTAAAAGTTGTTATATTTTGTGACGGAGGGAGTATGTTTTATGCAATATACTTCCTAAAATTATTCTCTTGTCTTTGCTTTTTGTGTGCTCAAGATAGTTTGCCTTTTCCTCTTCTAATTCCGTAATAATCTTTTCTGTATCTTATCCAGGGGGTTAATAGAGCATTACCATATGTTGCAAGCTCAGAAGTTGATGATATTGTGGAAGTTCAGACACCAATTCTTTTTAGATTGGTGAGCTTGTTAGCTAACGATAAGAAATATTTTACACATTACTGTTTGGATGACATAATGCCCTGACATCATTGTTGTTTCATTTAGGTGCACTCTGTAAATTTCAATGTTGGTGTACAGGCATTAATGCTTTTGTACCAAATATCTACAAAAAATCAGATCGCAAGCGACCGTTTTTACCGTGCACTGTATGCAAAACTTTTGAGTCCTGCATCCGTAACCTCGTCAAAGGTTTAGCTCCCATCCTACCTTTTGTTTTGTTTACTTCTGTGCATTCTTCAGTTCCACCCTTCTTTGATTTTCAGCTTATAATATCATGGTTTGGTTGGCCTGATAAAGACTTTTCAGCTAATAATATAGTAACTAAAAAGAAAGTAGCTTTGCACATTTATACATTATCAGTGGCCCTCTCGTTATGGTTTACCTGACTTGTTTTGTATTATTTAGCCAGAATTATTTCTTGGTTTATTGGTGAAAGCAATGAAAAATGATGTCATGTTAAAGAGAGTGGCTGCATTTGCAAAGCGGTTGCTGCAGGTATGCTTTTTTTCTCACTCAGAGCACCGTTCTGTGTTTAGCATGCTGCCTATTCTAATGCTGTGGCTGTTAGCGGTTACATCCATCAAACTGGTCAAGTTTGCAAAACAAAGAGACACCTATACAAAACACTTGGCCTTTTATGCTATGAAAACATGAATATATTTTATGCTGTTTCAAACTAGTGTCTGCTATTACATAGCACAGAAAATTAGTGTGTAGAACATGAAGGGTGTGTTTGGATAATGGGAAATGGAGGGTGGGATTGGGATTGGGAAATGAATGAAGGGTTAGGATTTAAAGATGCCTTTTGGTGGGTGGGAAATGATTTCCCCATCCCATTAGCCAAACGCTGCCGAACAACTTGTGGTTCATGGTTTATTATGTTGTGGCATGCCTATTAATGGTTATCATAAAAAGCTGTATCCTTGCAATTTCCTGCCTCACATTGGCATAGACGCATAGTTTTTTCATTTTCCATATGTTAACTTTTTTGATAATTCTTACCATTCTTTTTATCTTGGTTCTCCTAGTTTCGTTCTTTATAGTTTACTAGCAAGATGCCTGTGCGTTGCAATGGATAAATCTAGATGGTTAATTCCTTCTTTACCTACACATGTGTGATGATATGGTAATGATAATCCCCAAAGTAACCACCACATAAATCTAACAAACAGTTATAGCTAACCAATTCAGAGGAAATTTTCACAAAATGGTGTCTGAACAGTGAACAGTGAGTCAGTGACCAGCGTGCTAACATTCCATAATGTCGATAGCTGATGCTTCCTAGAAGTTTTAGTAACTAAGGGTAAATGAAAAAATGGCAAATCCATGCACCCAACATAAAAATACCAAAGGCATGTTCAACTACTTTGACATGGTTCAAACTTAAGCTAGTGAGACCATTTATCAGTATTGAGATGTAGAAAATGAAGGTAGTGTTTTATTCATTTTAAAATTGCAAGATTGCTCTTCAATCAGTTGTTTGTAGCAAACGTCCTTCACAAATCATATCTGGAAATATTGAGTATATTTAGTCTGGGGAACTACTGAAAATAAATATAGAAAAATACAAAGTACAAAACCTGGATAGCTTGTTATTAGAAGCTTAATAAAAGTTTCTCCCTGTAGAATATTGACCTAAAAGCATAACCGCCTTTGCATCAGCATCAGTATTTGTCTGTGAGAAAGGGCAGGGTTGATATATTCATGTATGATGTAAGCAATTTAGTTCAAAACTATGCTACAAGGGAGCGTTAGTAACAGTTTAAAACAAAAGAAAAGGTAGCTGTTTGTATGTAATGAAAAAACCTGATAGTGAGAATCTATAAGCATGTACCAGTAATGGAGATAGAATCAATGAATTTGAATTTAATTTCCAAAAAAACTCGACCGTGGGCGAATGACCGCTTCTATGGCTTTTTCATTTAGAAGAAGCCTTAACCAAACTGGCCGAGAAAAGCCAAAAACTCTGGCCCCCCTACACGCGGACTTGGCCCCTATAGATCGATCCTTAACCCGCGCTTTGAGGCCCCTGCCTCCTAGACGAGGGACCACCCTCTAGGTTGATTCTTAACACGTGTTTTTTTATGAGAGGCCAACAAGTGACTTTTTTTAACTAGGCCTGAAATTCCCTCCCGTGGGGAGTTGAACCCAGGACCTAAAGGTGCTACTTGAGCACTGTAACTGCTAGGCTATAGGTGCATGCTGTATGCTACCTCCGCCTAGGGGTAATGGGCCCAACTTTTTAGCCTACAAAATTTGAGGGCTGGGTCTAAAATATATGATGGCTAGGTAGGGTTGTGAAAGGACCCATGGAATTATCACCCCTACCTCCGTCCCACATCAATCACAGATGTGGTTATCCAAATCACAGGAGGGCTAGGCAAGAGTTGTTAGAGGTGGCACTGCGGCAGGTGGCATTGTCCCCTCTTCTCGACTTCGTCATAGCCAGCTTCGAACGGGCGAGCAGATTGTTCATGTCAGGTTTCCAAGGCTGTGGCCCCACATGTCAGATGGTCTTTCAAAGGAGAATAGATTATGGGACACTGGGGGGCCGAAATGTCAGCTGTAGGGGTGGTGTGGCAGAACCACCACCACCACTACTAACGTTTGTAGTAGTATAGAAATAGAGAGCTGTTGCAACACTGTTGAAATTTCACAGAATACGTATTAGTTGATCACTATAGCTTAAAGCACAATGGTGGTTGTTTTGCCTCTTGAGCTGATTAGATGTGCTAAGATGTGGACTACTGAATGATGTGGAGCCCTTATCTGAGTACCAGCCAGTAGGAGATTCAGATCACACATGTTCAGAAACAAATATTGACTAGTCCACTCTGTGTTATTTGGTTGATGTCTAATGTTTCTATTTTAAACTCTTTATGTAATAGATTTGCAAAATTTAAACGCCCGCCTGAACAATGTCTGCTTTACTTAATTGTTTTATGATATTGTAGACAAAAGAAATGCTAAAGTTGATTTTTTCAATAGAATATAGAAGTTACAAACTAACAATAGTCGTGTATATGCATGTTATATACAATTTTAACCATTCACTATGCATCCTACACATGGAAACTACAAAAAAAAAAAAAGAAAGAAGAGGAATGTGGGAGAGTGTTCAGACTTTTTGCAGCCAGAATTTGCTTATACCATAGCCATCCCTGATAAATGTTTCTGATAGTTCCTGTGATAGCACTATTCAGAAAAGTTTTGGGAGTATTGATTATTTACTGATACGGTTATGAATCTGAGTGAAACTACAGAAGTTCTATATTTTAATTATGATGTCTCTCAACAGGTTGCTCTTCAGCGGCCTCCTCAATATGCTTGCGGATGCCTTTTCATACTGTCAGAGGTCCTTAAAGCAAAGCCACCATTGTGGTATGCAACTAGTTCTCATAACCACACATTCCATTAGTTATTTATTTGAGATGTAATTTACATCCTATTCTTCAGGGCAATTGTGCTCCAGAATGAATCTGTTGATGATGGTATTGAGCACTTTGAAGACATAGTAGAGAATACTGATTGTCCAGCTATTACCTCAAGAACTACAGATAAATGCAATGACATATTAGCTACTCTTGAGAAATGCAATTCAGATGCTGAGGATGCCTGTGATACTATAGAATGTGTAAGTCCAATCTCAAGTGGTGAGAAAGATGGAAAAGGCACATCAGCTGAGGGGTTGACACTTCAGGCATCTTATAATCCACGACACAGAGAGCCTTCTTACTGGTATTGTCTGTTTACTTCCATTTCTCTGTATGTCTGTTTACTTCCATTTCTGTGTATGGGTTATTCGGACTAGTTGGTTACTAATGCAATGAATGGGAATATGGTTATGCAGATTCTAGTGCAATCCAATTTCAAACAAAAATTCCTAAATTTTTTAGTTTGGCATAAAAAAGAAAAGATTGGTCACCAATCACTATTTGACTTGAGGCACCAAACTTCACTCTCTTTTTTTTTGGACAGAGAAACATTAATCTTTTTCATGTTATCTTATTGATCAGCTGTCTATTTTTATTTCCTCAGTAATGCAGACCATGCCAGTTGGTGGGAGCTTACTGCACTGGCCTTACATGTGCACCCATCGGTATCTACTATGGCTAGGACATTGCTATCTGGTAACAATATCGTTTATAGTGGTGATCCATTGACAGACCTATCACTCCCTGCTTTCCTTGACAAATTCATGGAGAAGAAACCAAAAGGAAACCGCATCGCTGAAGGGAAATGGCATGGTGGATCCCAAATTGCACCAGCTAAAAAGGTTTGTGTTGTATGACAATTATGTTTATTTGCCAACTTTTAAATGTCATATTTCTCAGCAACTAAGAAAAGCATGTCCATCCTGAAAATGAGGCCACAACGTTTGCACTCAGCAATGGGGGCTGTGAAAGTTTGGTGATGGCCGCTCGCTTTGCTTCTGATCTCGTGTTTTTGCTTTGCCATTGCAAGCCACGGTGCCACAGCTAGGCCAGTTGTTCCTGATGCATTTGGTATTATAGAGAATTTTTGCCAGCATTAGTGGATACAATTTCAGGGTTTGGTTACAGTAAAACAATATTAATGGTAAAATCCTAACATAATTCTGTAATCCTGACTGAGAATTAGGCAGCAGGGAATGCAACTCCCAGCAGGGTAGTAACTCAGAAAAAGAATCCCAATACACAGATTGTTGAAATTATATTCCTAACTAACATTCTACATGGTAATAAAGTTAGTGGTAGTAGCTAGAAAGGGAAGACTAAAAATGGAGCGGTGGGATGGGAAATAAAGGAACACCATTTCTTAAATTGGAAAATTAGGAATTTTTTTCTTTATATGACAACTTTCTGCTATTGATTGATTGATGTTCTAGGGAAAAAAAAACCGTAACTGGCATGTAGTTGTTATATGTTACTTCATGTAACTTTTACCCGTGAATAGCTAAATGCCATGCTACGGATAAAAAGAAAAAAATATTAGTATTGCCTAAAATAAATAAAAGCATATTTTCCCTAAAATATGTTACCTACCTTTTTGCTATAGGGAATATTCAGCTTAATTTAATTTTATATGTGGCTACCCATTTAGATTTAGTTGTTATGTAATATTAAGAAATTCAAGGGGTAATATGTAAAAACTACAATTAAAGTTCAGATGTGGGCATGCTGCAATACAATTTCTTCTCTCTTCTTTAGCAAACCAGCAAATGACTGGCAATTATGTTAATAAAGCAGGAAGGCATCAACACAGCCTTCTCTCAAGTGGATACTATCTATTGGTGTATGTCGATGCACACTGTCTTATTAGCATGAATATAGAGCTATCTCTAACGCTGAGCGTGAATACACATGGCTTCTCACATTTCACAGCATTGTACCTTTTCTGTTCTGCACTAATTATTTGCACCTCCATATTTAAATTCAATCTTTCTTAATTGATGGTGATGCTTGCGGCTTGCCCAGCTTAGATCTATGCCTAGAACTAATGGCATTCCCAGTTTCTGACACATCTTTGCAAACCACATGTTCAACTGTGTAGCTTCTGTGGAAACTTATATGGCTATTTCTCTATGCTTTACATTCATTGCTTTTATTGCAATTTTTGTGTGCTGATCGGTATGTGTCCACAGCTTGATCAAAGTCATCATCTCATTGGAGAAGAGCTACTAGAACTGGTAGAAAAGGAAGTTCCTCCTGAAGATGTTGTTTTCCATCGTTTCTACATGAACAAGACTGGCCCTATTAAACCTAAAGCAAAGAAGAAAACCGCGGTTCTGGATGAAGATACTGGAGAGCTCTTTGCTGATGATGTAGATGATGCTAGTGATGAAAGTGATGATGAAATGCAGGAGCTGGGAATTGGGTCGATAGAAGATGGAGAATATGATTATGATAATCTGGATGCAACCACATTTGAGGAGGAAGGGGATTTGCTTAGATATGACAGTGATGTTGAGTTGCATGACATTTCAGATGATATCTCTTCTGGAGCAGATTCTGATACTGAAGCCCTTGAAGGTGCTAACCATTCAGATGGCAATGACAGTGATGGAGAGGAGCCAGTCCAGGGGCAAAAGAGGAAACATGGTGCAAAGAGTGGAGCATCGCCATTTGCAAAACTAGAAGACTATGAACATCTCATGGATGGGGAAGCGGAAAAGCCAACGTTTAAGAAGGGGCGGAAGCACAGGGTAACCAGAGACAGCAAGGAGAAGAGAAAAGGTCTGAGCAGCAAGGAGAAATCAGGATCACGAAAGAAAAGGTCGAAGAGATCAGAATGAGATAAACATTTTTACCATTTTCATGTTTATCGTAATCGCAATGATGGTTATGAAATTTTTGTAGCTTATAGTTTCGGTGTTTGTATCCTTCGCCCACCTTTTTCATTTGGACACGTTCCTGATGAATATTACACTAAGAAATCACTTGGAGATTAGGGACAGATCAACGGGGCTGGCTTCTCCCTATCTCCCCTGTAATCTTCAGAACCTGAAGATGGACCAAGGCGTTCCAGACTCTTCAGACAGGTGGTATGGTGATAGTAGTGCGTGTGGCCTGTTGATATGCTATATAATCCAAGAATATTTCGGCTTTTTCAATCGTCTCTCTTTGGTTCCTCTACCCCTTATGTTACGAGATACTATCTCTATTTTAAAATGTATAACGCTATTGCTTTTTTATTTAACTTTAACCATTTGTCTTTCTCAAAAATTCAGTGTAAAAATATAAGTTAAATTTATGTTTTTAAGGATAAAATAAGTCAAAGTAAAATAAATACTATTTATATTTTTATTAGTTAAGACGAATAATTAAACATTATATAAAAAGTTAATGGTGTCATCTTTTAAAGTGAAATGAGTGGGGTATTATACTAGTTGGTATAACTGGAGCCATCCTGGCTCCCTTTCTTTGGAGCAGTGATCGTACTCTCTTCGATTTGAGTTACAGCTTACAGGTGCGTGGTTTTGAGATCACATCACTTAATCTCGAGATGGTTGGACCACGTGTCTTGGTTAAGAAATTTTTTTTGAAAATATCTTTTTTTTAATAATTTATATTTATATATATGCATGGGATTAATTTTTAAAAATATACCTAATTCGCGCCGCTGTAATGCGGGAGTGAGGAAGAAGCGTGTGTTAGAGATGCGGGAGCGGAGAACAGAACGGTCAAGCAGGATGGCCATGGTCGTGCAGCCGGGAAATGCGACACGAGGGATGGTCCCACAGGTGGGCAAGCGGGAGCATGGTGGTTTGAGAGACCGAGCTGGTGACGCAGAGCGGACGCGTGGCACCGGCTCGGTCACGCATACCGGATAAGTGGCACCGAGCCGGTCTCGTGGAGTAGCGGCTAATTAGGAACTAATTTGAGGTAATTCTCACTGAATAAATTTTAATTATTCAGAACGATATTTCTATTAAAACAGAGTAATTAACAGAGTAAAATAAATAAGAAGAGAGTTACTGACAACTTCGGAATTCTTCCGACTTCTACTCTATCATCTCCCTAATTCTAGTATACAATAAAATATAATAGAGCCTCTTATAATTTAATTTAAGCTTGAAATGTGTGTATGAAGTGAGAAGTAGATGTCCTTACATAGGCAGGTAATAACGGTTGGAGAACGTGAAATGTCTAAAGTGCCACTCAACCGCCATCAGGAGAACATCTATAGCGTTCATGCTAAACCTCAGTCTGAACGGCTAAGATTGGGGTTCCTTGGTCTGGCCCAACAGGCCCAGAAACTGGCCTGCTGCTCCTTCTTAATCAGCCCAATACTTGTATGGATGAAATTCTCCTTCACGCTAGTCTAGATTTTCTCCCAACTTTGGTTGTTTATTACCTACATCAAATATACACCAACACTCGTGAAAAATGTTAGAATTAAGTCCTACCACTATGTTGGTTTTTTTTATTTTCTATGTTTTATGCAGGTATTAGCGGCGTAGAATTGGCATTTAACAACCGCCATCAACCACCGGTGCTACAACGATTTGATTGACGTACTATGTCTTAAGGATCAGTTTAGGATCTATCATATTAAGAGGATTGTAGGTACTTCTCATCGGCCAATCTTGTTGTGTATAGGTAATGATATATTATAAGCTGATGAAACACCATACATGCACTCATTGCTGTACGAAGTAGACGCCGTACCCAGCAATCGGCTATTTGGCCAATTCTCTAGTTCGTTCATGCGAGGTATAACTAAAATAGGTAAACCGATTATTTACACTAGCAATAACAACACCATCTACTGTTTTAGTGATATTAGATGTTATAACAGGGGTATAGCTATAATTGGTTTGTTACCTTAGATGTGGTGTAACAGGCAATGAAAATTCCTATTGTTTGATGATGCCTTGCCTCGTCTTCTAGTAGCATGAAGCCATCTTTCGCATTTCGCCGTACATATTCAAGGTGAGCTTCAAACGCTCGATGATCGGCTTACGGCAACTCTCCATAATTCGCAACCATGATGGATAACTAGGGATTTGGCTATAGCAACCGAAATCGCCTCTAACGGAGTTGTCAAAAAGATGTGTTGGCACTAGAACACATATGCTTCTGGTCAGATCGTCCCCCTGCAATCGGTTTGATCGGCCGTATGGTGGTGGTCAGACCGACCTCGCGTGGCAAGCCCGGGTTCTTCCCAACAGAGATGCATGACACCAGGGAATTTTCAATTGCAAGCAAAGTCATCCAACGCTCTCTTAAATTGAATTGTTGTGGTCGTTGTTTGAGTTGGTGCAAAGATACATATCTGCTGCTTTAATTTTGTGCGATAACTCCATGAATAAAGACTTTACGCATTCCATTTGCTTCATCCAAAGGAGAACCTAAAAAAATCTATCTATTATTTATATTATCAACAAATATAAAAAATAAGCCATCATGTTCGCTCACGGTTCTCGAAATTACTATGCAGAGAATATTAGATTATGGTGGGTTCAGATTAGAACGGAATAGATTGGTCTCTATAGGTAAGAGAAGCTAACAATTATATAGACACAGTTATACATTTTAAATCTTCAATATAGAAGATATTGTACCTATAGAAATATATGGAAATATAAGCCAAGAGTTATAAATCAAATCCAATTTCATTTTTAAAATTCATTGTATGTAAATAACGACAACAGTATCCATGAATCCAGAAATTTAGGAATTATATATCAAATCAATTCTAGTTTAGAAGTCTATCTCTAGAAAAAAAAAACATGTGGGAAGTCCACCAAAGTTGATACCTTTTTTATATATGGAGTTTAAAGACATAGGGACTATAGGCTACCTATTGTGTAAGTTTGGTGATTGGTAAATCGAAAAATACCATTATTAGTCAGTCATACTATTATATCCATGATACTAGGAAGCACAATCGACCAACCACATGCATGCGAGAAATGGTTGAAAAGATATGGTGAGCTACGTCTTTTTTATTGCTACAGATTGATGATATTTAAAGATATCGCTAACTCTATTCGGCCTAATATCCTAGGAGACCACCTCTGTATTTGGTAGAGATGAGCTCACGATACTACTGCTAGTTTTGTATAAGTTATGTAGAGAATATATCATGCGCCGGTCCGAACACCAAACCAGAACTGATCCTAATGAAAACAACGTCTTAAATGTCATTTTGGCCTTTGGCCTTGGTAGGATATTCTTGTGGTAGCAAGATCAAATGCCATGCAACACGATTGATAGCAGTAAAGAGCAAGCCAATGATTGCTATACCATGTATTGACAAAGTTGTTTTTAGCAAGACAACACATGTGTTTGCAAATCACTTTCATGGCTGAACCAGGATGTTCATCTTCCACATAGAGATCTGCATCGATCAAAAGGTTTGTTGTAAATGTTGGACAAGGAGCTGACAAACAACTACTGCCATACGCATACTTACATGCATCGCGAGGAGTTGGGTGGTAGCAGCTGAATTAGTGAGGATTAGGTAGACATGTCAATGAGGGCATCCACAGTGTAGAAGAAAAGCAGACAATAGACTTTCTTTCTAACCTGGTTATATACATTGTGAAAGCTGGAATTAGTTGTTACCCGTCATATACTACAACAGAAACAGCCTCTAGAGACGTTTTCAAAGCAACGGCTTGGGAAACCGTCTTTACCAAAGCCCACCTCCCATCCCACCCTATTACTAGATACAGATGGAAGAGACATATGAATGAACCGTCTCTATATTTAAATTAATCCGTTTGATGAAAATTTGATAGGATGGGGGTTAAAATCCGTAGACACGGTCCTTATGACAGGTGTAGAAAAACCGCGTCAAACACGTGCGAAAAGATTTGTTTTTGGCACCCGTTCGCTAAATCTTTTTTATCTACGCGCATTTTCTGATGAAGTTCGCGAGATTTTTTTCGTTCACTTCTTTCAATCTTTCAATACCCAATTCCTAGGAACGCCGCCCAGCCACCGCCCACCGGCAGGGCTCCAACCTGCCGTGCGCCTGCAGCGTTGCCGCGCCTCGGCGTCAGTCCGGCACGTGCATCCTACCGACAGCTCCGGCGCGCATATTCGTGCAGCCGTCACCCAGTGCGTCCCTTATAGATGGCCAAAAGGCCCGAGGCCCGACGGCCCGGCCTATGGCACCATATTTTGGCCCGGCCCAAGCACGGCACGGCCCGACGGAGGTCGGGCCCGTGCCGGCCCGGCCCAACCATCGGGCTGTGTCTGGGCCCCTCCACCGGCACGTTGGGCTGGCCCGGCATGACCGGGCCGGCCCGACACAATGGGCCGGCAGCTAGGCCCGATACAAAAAAAATAGAGGAGTAAAAATAGACATATTATATGCCATGGAATAGGGATACTTTTTTTATCTATATATATATGTCAGCCAAAGAGGAGGGACGGAAAATAGACTTATTTTAGATATACATATGTCAGCCCAAAGAGGAGGGACGGAAAATAGACTTATTTTAGCTATCTATGTAACTAATATAAATATTTGGATTTTTCCGGTCGTCACCCAGCGTCGCTCTCCATCTCCGCACAAGTGTATTCATGTACGGTGGCCAAATTAAAAAAAACAGAGATGATATAAAAATCCTAATCATGTACGGAGGACAAATCACAACATCAAAACCAACCCCAGAAAATCAGTTTTTCATTCAATGTTTTGCTTCACAAGGACACATAATTGAATACGATGAAGATTGACGCTACAAAAATTATAAAGGTGGAAGCAGATACACACAAACAAATCTCAACTCCCTAAAGAAACCAATCTTTCGCCTTAAGATGCAGCAGCTCACGAGTCACGATGCGGCAAATCCAGTGGTGACAGAATCAGCCCAAGCATCTCCAAAACACCCATGGAGAGCAAATCGGGCAAGCACCAAAGATCCCCATAAAGAAGGCCACAAATTTCCAAAGGACGACATCAAATCTGGCTGCTAAGGCAAAGACATCGCTTACAGATGGAGTAACAGAAGCAAGGGTGAGTGAAAGCGGGAGGCAGCAAAAAATTCACTTGGATCTGGCCGCCGCCGCCCTGCACCTCCTCCTTCGTGGAGCCACTGTCCTTGCCGTCGTCGCACCGTCCTCGCCATCTCCCTTAACGCTGTGCTGGTCCCAAGCTTGGGGGTCGTTGGATCTTGCCCCCGCCACCCCACGCCTCCTCCTCCACCTCATGAGAGAGGAGAGGACTCGCTGCATAGGGGAGAGGGCTGGAGAGGCGTCGGCTGCTGCGCAGGGAGAGGGAGCAGAGCCAGCCGCCACGAGGGTAGGGATTGGCGCCGGCTACCGCGCAAGGAGGGAGAAGCGCTTGCGCAGTTGAGGGAGAGGAAGAGGCGGAGACGAAGGTGCGAGAAAGCGAGAGGATAAGGTGTGCGTTATTTTTTTCTTCCAAACTCCACGCGGCTCCACTAGGAAAAATGTAGGGCCCCTTTGAATCGCAGGATTGAGAAAACGTAGGAATAGGAAAAAAGTAGGATTTTGATAGAAATGTAAGTGTAAAACAGAGGATTGCAAAACGTAGGAAAAACACAGGAATAACCATTTGATTGAACCACATGAAAAACACAGGAATTGGATGAGAGATATAGACTCAAAGGAAAGTTAGCAAGAGGTTGAAGCTCTTGCTAAATTTTCTCCAAAATCTCTATAGGATTGTCTATTCCATAGGAATTTCAAAGGATTAGATATGATTCAATCCTTTGTTTTAAAGGGCTTCATACAAAATTTTCTTATAGAATTGAAATCCTCTAAAATTCATATGTTTTTCCTCCAAAATAAGGGTCCCTAAGTGCGGTGCTTTTTCACTTGATGCCTAAAAAAACGATGGATATTTTTACGGATAAAAAACGATGGATTTTGTAGCCTTAGTAGTTGTTATCATCATTAGCATGTGGGCTGGGTCAACCCAATGTGCCCGAGTTACGGAAAAATATGTACTTTTTTTTTTCGTATTTTGTACTTATATACATGCCTGAGATTAATTTGTAAAAATATACCCAATCCGCAGAACGGTTGCGCGGTAACGAGGACGGCCCGCAAATTGGGGATGTGGGAGCCGAACCCGAGCCAGTCACACGGAACCAGGATGCGCGACCGAACCGGTCCAGCAGGACAGGGATACGGTACCACGCCGGTCCCGCAGGACGGGCCAGCGACAACGTGTTGACGGCGCGGTCCCCCCGAGCTGGCGCGCTCGCCTCTCTCCCGCACGCCGGATGCGCGGGACCAACGGAACTGGGAACAAAGAAAACGGAGCAGTCCATTAGCACATGATTAATTAATTATTAGTTTTTTTTTCAAAAATGGATCAATGTGATTTTTTAAGCAACTTTCGTATAGAAACTTTTTGCAAAAAATTACACCGTTTAGCAGTTTGAAAAGCGCCGCGCGGAAAACGAAGGAGATGAGTTGGAAAAATCGGGGGAATAAACATAGCCGAAGAGCTGTTTCCAACACACGACCACGGGGCCGGCGCGGTCCCGCACTGCCGTTCTGCGGTACCACCGCACTCAACCGCGGTCCCGAGGGTGCCATCGCTCCCGCACATCGGCACTGTTGTACTGACTCAGTCGCGCAATCCAGCCGTGCGGGACCGGCTCGATCGCGCATCCCGGTTCCACGCGACCGGCTCGGGTTTCGCTCCCGCATCCTCAGTCCGCGGTTCGCCCTCGCTCCCGTGCAACCGCTATGTGGATTAGGTATACTTTTGCAAATTAATCTCAGACATGTATATAAACGTAAAATATGAAAAGAAAATGTATATTTTCAAATTTGATTCCCCAAGTTACAGCCCAATGTGCCCGAGTTACTGTTATGGGCTACCCACATGGTTCATCCTCCTCTCCATTGAAAATGTGGGCCGGCTAGAAGGATTACGGAGGGGCCTGGCTGCCACGGAAGAAGTGGCGACGAGCGATCGGTCAACAGGAGCATGACCACGACAACGGCAGCAGTAGCGTAGCCGACGGTGGTTTGGGTAGGTAAATCCCGACGAGAAGGTCCGGTTCTTGCCGGCGAGCTATCTCTGGTGGCTGGCCATCTCTGTTTCCTGGTCTCACCTCAGGTACACACGGCCATGCCGCCTAACCGCCGGCTCGATTACACGAGTGTCAGTTTTTTCTTTTGTAATACATACAAGAGTAAATTTCACAAAACTACATATTTTACATATTTCATGGTTCACATATTTTGACACTTGACACTTAAGTACATATATTTTGGTAGTTTAGTTTCACAAAACCACACTATCGATGAATGGATTCACTTGTGATATGACGACGTGGTTGTTTCATCTAGTATGAGGACGTGGTATCATATTAATTTCGTGCGATGGCTGGTAATAGGATGCTATGTCCTCGTCCTAGGTGAAACAACCACATCATCTCGCGGGTAAATCTATACATCGATAGTGTAGTTTTGTGAAACTACACGACCAAAATATATGTACTCAAGTGCCAAGTGTCAAAGTGCGTGTGGTTTTTTGCAACTTGGACCACAAAATATATAGTTTTGTGAAATTTACTCAACATACAATTATGATGGGCTATAGGTGCGTCACAATTTTTTAAGTTCGTAAAGTCCAACCGAGTGGCGCCCTCATCTCTGCATGACCGTAATCGTATACGGTGGCCTAAGAAAAAAAATCGAAGATGATACAAAATCCTAATCATGTACGGAGTACAAATCACAATATAAAAACCGACCGATAATCCCAAAAAAGAAACAAAAGCGGCGTCACCTATCATTTGAGACTTTTTCTAGCGAGCAAAAATACCAAAACAGTGTGAAAATAGCTTCGGTTAAAAATAAATATTTTTAGTTTTAATACACCGTAGTGAAGCACGGGCATTTTATTAGTACATATGAAATAGCCCAAAAAGGAGGGACGAAAAATAGACTTATTTTAAAAAAGACCCGATGGGTCACCCATGCCTTCGGGCCGGCACGGCACGGCCCGACAGCTGGTGGGTCATGCCTGGGCGGGAGGTGCAGCCCATGGACCGGCACGGCCCGGCACGAAGTGCCTATTGGGCCGTGCCGGCCCGATGGCTGCTGGGGCGTGCCTAGCCGTGCCTGGGCCGGGCTATGCCGGGCGGGCCCTTTGGCCATCTATAGCGTCCCTCAGTGGTCGTCCAGATCACATTTGCTCCACCTTGGTCGTGTGGACGTCCCTACAGCTAGCCGTCAGGCAGTGCGTCCCGGCAGCGATCGTCCAGATATCGTATCCTGCTGAAGCTGTCCAAGGTAATTACCGCTTTGCAAGCTGCAGCCGCCGGCATCATCACTTGTTTGATTTGTTAGTAGCAAGCAGGCGAGGCTACCACTTTGTTGTTTAATCGGCTACCACTTTGTTTTTTAATGGCTGCACAGTGTGCACACCAATTGTTTGATGATTGTTCTACACAAGCAAGTCCGGAAAGAGGTTAACGCACTGTTTTTTAATTATTGTAAATCAAGTTTTGATCAATTTAGATGTGAACGGCATTGATGCATCGGTATGCTAGCACCCAAATTTGGTTGCCAAACACATTCTCGTTAACCTGGGCACTAATCATGTAGATCTAATTTAATTAGTAACATAATCTTGCCGTTAATCACATTCTACGTAAATGATCATTTCATTTTACAGAGATGGCGGTGTATTTCAACATCTCTCATTTCGTATGTGTACAAGTCTTTGCTTTTGTGGATTTGGGCAATTCGATCCCAGTCAACTACTATTGAGGTGATTTGCCACTGCTCGTGTGACTATTATATGGAAATTGTATAATGCATATGATTTTGTGATCAAAGTTGTTTTCTTTAAGTAGTAAAGACTTAGGCAAAACTATTCATAGATATTTTGGTTGGCTAAAGTTATTCATAGACACAGATTGTGAGTTCCTGTTCATATTTATAGTAGGATTTGCACTAAACCATATAAAGGATATATATGACTTAACAAAGAAGAAAAAAAAACAAAGATGAGAATTTGTTATGAAGGGTAAATTTTCCATTTATCAACTTGAGATATGAAGATTTGTATGTTCTCATTTTGGCATTTTAATTGATATGCAACGGTTTTGTTATTAATAACGTTCTAATCCATTTTTTTAAATATAGTGCAAATGGCAACATTTTTTTAAATATAGTGCAAATGGCAACAAGGTCCCAAAGATTACAAGGCTTGGAGCTTTTGGAGAATGGAGTACAAAATCAAGAACTGGTCCCAAATAATCATTATGTTGAAGAACAGAACATAACAAACGCAGATTGGCGCACAAATTGCTATGAGTATCATAAGATGTATTTGTTTATTCGCTTCAAAACTTTTGCTTACAGACTAACTTTTAAAATTTTACAGATCCTGATAGCCGCATTAAAAGACGTCGAGGACCAACTAAATTGGCAAATGTTGAAAATCTTCCAGAGGGTGTTAAGATTATTGACAAACTGGATCGTTTCAATGTACCTTGCTCCCAATCTGCTATAGTTCTTGGATCCTATTTAGGAACACTTGTCAGGAAGCCATATCTAACTCCACTGAACATTCTTCAATGGAATCATAAACTTTATAAGAGAGTATATTATTCAAAAATGATTTCTGAAGTAGAGGTATTGCTCTTTAATTTTCACAGCTTTTTAAATCATATTCTTATGGTGATTCCAATATAATTCCATTCACTCTATTTTTTTTCATATGCACTAGAGAAAGTTTGCAATTGATGGAAGAGCTAATAATTGGATTCTCCACCAGTTAGATGGCAAATTGAGACAGTACAAGTCAAAACTGAAAAAGGGCTATTACAAGCCTAACTTACCTATGGAACGAGCATTGCAAACTGTGCCCAAAACTGTTGCTGAATCTCAATGGGCCACCCTAGTTTCTTACTGGTACTCAGAGGATTCTAAGGTAAATATATGTTGGGACTTTTTAGTGACTGAATGGCCATCATTTTGATTTATATCAGCTCATTGATGCTATATGTTGTATCATTAGAAAATCAGTGACAAAAACAAAGAGAATGCATAGAATATTAAGCATCCACACACATTAGGAAGAAAGAGTTTTGCAAGAAAGAGGAAAGAGCTGGTAAGATTTTAAGCAATTTTCATATATTAATTCACTATTGCTTCAATTCCTCATGCACTAGAGATGTATAATCTGCAGGAAGTTAATGGAGTGGAGGTGGACTGAGCAACCTTCTTCGATGAATGCCATAAGACGAAAGATGGCAGATATGTTAACAATGCTAATGAAGAAAAAATGGTATGCCATATTGCTTTTTTTTATAAACTCTTTGTAAAACAAAATACACTACACTAAGAGTCTACAATTTTTTCCAACGTAGAATGAAGTATATATGAAATTGGCTGAGAAAAGAGTGGATGGCCAAGAAGTCAGTGTAGCTGATTTTGAACAAACTATGTTAGAAGTGTTTGGACAGGATCGTAGTGGTAGAGTTAGAGGCATGGGTCCAACCATTATTCCAACAAACTATTATGGTGGAAGATTTTCGAATATATTAGGAAGCAGTGAAGGGAGTAGCTCCAGTAATGTAAATGGTTTCATTAGTTTTATAGTATCATATTTGACTGAGAAATATCCAGAGGATAATTTGATTTCTAGGTTACCACCATCAGTTGCTAGGGTCATTCCAAGACAAGAGGTATGGCCACAAAATTACTAATTTTAAATGTTGTAACTTATATAGCCATAAGCTTCCAGAATAACAAATTCATGCATGTATCTTTAGGTTGATCAGAACCAATAAGTCAGCCACCAAATACTGCTACCAAATACTATCAAATACATCCTCTCTTCCATTTGATCAGAATCATGGAAATCAGCTACCAAATACTACTCCACCCTCTAGTGCTAGAGCATCATCTCAGTCTTGCAGTGAAGAAGAGTGATTTACAATGGCAATTGTACCATTCCGTACTACTTGCTGCATTAGAATACAATTATTTTTTGTGTTAATTTGTTTGAACCTATTGTTTCATTGTTATATCAGAAAAGATGTTGAAGTATTTTCATTGTGAACAATGTATAGATATTGCTTTTGTTTTAATGACAAGCTAGCTACTGACGTTAAAAGTCTTGTTAATGTGGTCTTATGGTAATTTAATCTGTTGGTATTGTTTTGTTTATGGGTTTTCTGAATGAAAGGTGTATTGATTGTTGGCATGTGACCAATAGCGGGGCTATAAATAATATGTTAATTTCATAAAGTGTAGATACAGGCACAACCGTATCTATAGAAGCATAAATTGTCTCTAGGAAAGAAATAAGTAATAAATTCATTATGAATAGAGACGGTTGTGACCGTTTCTAGAGAAAACGTAGATGTATCTACTATAAGCTAGACACGGAAACAACCGTGGCTAAGATCATCAAGTGTCTCTACATGATCAATCCAAAAATTTGTATTTCAAATTTGACATGGTCATAATTTAAATTAGAGACGGTTTTCCATGTGTCTACAAATTTGATTTGAATTTCGAGTTATATGTGTAGCGACGGTTCCAACCGTATCTATTGACCGTCTCTAGATTATACACACGGATATTTAAACCGTCTCTAATCGTTTGACACGGGAGCTATGGCAACACCTCTGAGACGGGTACTAAAACAATCTCTACCTCTACTAGAGACGGGTATAGCCGTCTCTACCGCATATAAAACCCGTCTCTACAGGCTGTTTCTGCTGTACATAGCATTGCTACTGGCAACAAGCAAATAAAAAATGAGTTGTAGCTAAGTCGGATGTACCTTTTGTGATGGACCCATCTTGTTTTCTTTATCATAGACTTATATACATTGTGTAGCTTAGTAACAACTACTACGTACTACCTGATACCTGATCAATGGGCCCACGCTATTGCCTACTTGTGAAATAAACATTGCGCATGGGCTGAGAAGAGATACCTCATCCTCTTGATTCCTAGCACATTGGGAGAAAGAATATCAAAGAGATAACATATAGGTGGATGGCATATATCCAAAAAGAGATTAGATATTGGGCATAGGCTAATTTAATTTGCCATTTGGAATGCGATAGCCCATCTTATTTTAATTTGCAATTTTTGGTATTGATTGTACTCTTATTGTTGCGCGTAGTGTGTAAAACGATTATAGTTTTATTAATATAGGAGTAACAGATATTGTAAAGTCACTATTATGCTCGTCTCATGGAGACAACTTAAACTGTCGATTCCACAAAGTGAAAACACAACAAGAAAAGCTCTTTAATTTCCTTTTCTTACGGGTACTAACTGCTTACTTACGTGGGCTAGCTGGGGCGTCACACACTGTCGTGGCCGCAGGGAAAAATAACAAGAACTTAACAATAACGAAAAGAATAATACTTATGAAGCATGAAGCTAATGTATTTAATTTTTTTTTATAACAAGAAAGATGCATGATTACATCCGCAGCTGAGCCAATACATGGAGATGAACACTAATGTGTCATTTGGCGTATGCTGAAGAGAGTACGATGCAGCAACGTACTGGACATATATAATAAAAATGCAGTGATACAAAACACATAATACTGTAGATCTCCATGGATGCGAATGCGATGGAAGCAAAATTAAACAACTTTAAACTAGGATACAACGATGGTACGATCAATGCATTATATATGCATGCATGGATGCATGAACTTATACTAAATATATTAAATAAAGGTATAATCGGAGATGCTACGATCAATGGTGTGGTGCATGGAGATGATCGATCTGGATCGGTTTCAGAAGTGCGGGTGCAGGTGGAAGAAGCCGGGCGGCGCCCTGGTGGTGGTGGTGGTGGTGGTGTTCGGCCTCCGGCCAAGAAGCAGCGCGTCACGCAGCATCTGGTCCGCGCGCGCCGCCACGCCACCTTGCACGGCCACCAGCTTCGTCCCTAAGGCCATCAGCTCCTCCGGCGCCATGCGACCCACCTCCGCCTCCGGATCCATCCACGCCGCGGGCTGCCGCTGCCGCTGCTTCTCCATCGTCTTCTCCGCCCTCTCCCGGCGCGCCTTGTGGGCGTCCACCATCGCGCGCAGCTCGCCGTACTGCCTGTTGAGCTCCGCCACCACCGAGACCGACGACCCCTCCTCCTTCCCGGCCGTCGCGGGCAACGACGACGAGAGGAAGCGGTCCAGGAGGAACTCCACCGACGGGTGGCCGAAGGAGTAGGCCTTGCCGGCGGGGGAGAAGACGACGGCCGCCACGTCGGCGCTGCACAGGATGGACAGCTCGCTGGCCTTCTTGAAGAAGCCCGCACGGCGCTTGGAGAAGCACACCTGCCGTGCCTCCTCGCTCTCGATGCGCCGGATCTCGATCTTCTGCCGCCCCAGGCTCGGCCGCCTCCTCGCCGCTGCCGCCGTCACCATCACCATACCTACCTCGAGCGAATGTGTATATATATATATGGAGATGTGTCTCGCTCGCTAGCTCTCTCTGAGATTGAGAATTTGAGATGATCAAAATGGCAGCTGGTTCATGTGTATATATATACACCTAACCTGACCCCAGGCCGTATCATGCATCTATGTGAGAGTTGCCATTTTGGAGGATATATGCATATCTCTGGACATCAATACGGAATTAACTAGATACTAGTGTTTGCAAGCTAGCTAATACTGGGTTAATTAACGTACTAATGTCATGGTAAATGCTCGCAGCTAGTGCATCCAGGGAAGGGTTTTACGAGTAGCTATTACTCATGCTAGCTAGCTCCTTCCCATCAACATACCCAATTCATCATCTTCCAATTATGTGCAGATAACGAGATCTCGAGCCAGCTCGCTACTTAAGGTTCAGCCTGGATCGTCTGAGCTCGATCGTTATCTTAACAACCCAGCTGGCTCGGCTGGCTTGGCTTGTTAACCTTACTATATTTTGCATCTACGAACATGTTTAGCATAGCTCCAGCTCCACCTTTTCTAAAGTTAGAGCTCAACCAAACAGTTTTAGCTCTACCTAAAATAGCAGCGGAGTTGGATGGAGCTCTCTCAAAAAATGAACTAAAGAGGTGAAGCTGGATTCAGACAGCTACATAACTCTACTCCAGACCCAACTCTTAGAGCTAAATTTAGGAGTTGGATCGGAGCTCTACCAAACAGGCCCTACGTATGATACTGCTTTTCTAGAGACATGTGAATATATAATATATAACGAGTTTATCTTGCTCTTTTAAAGGTATTTAGGATGCATAGGTATATGCAGATTTCTCCGTATGTACTATAACTCGTGATTCTTAGCTAGCTACATTGTGTACCTTTAATTATCACTCAATACTTTAAGAACTAATCGTAGAACAAAAAGATTTCGATGTGCATGTTTGCTGTTGGGCACACATATACATGCAGATTTATGTGCATTACAGGTTTTTTTATCTCATTTATGTACCTATCTATTGCCAGCAATCACATATATACTGATCACTGGCGTGCTGTATATTCACAACTATTGATTGGAGTAAGGTTTAAGAGCCAGTGGAGCACTGTTAATTGCTCGAGCATATATATTACTCAGTAATATCTAGCTCAAGGGCCAGCGCTTCCTCATGTCAAAATTAAACAAATTAACCTGCCAATGCAAGCTGTATAAGAATTAAATTTTGGGGTGCACCTCGCAGCATGTATAGAGCCTGTTCAGATTGATGACATTTTCAACCATATCATTATTTGGTAAAATTAATAATTATGTGGCTACATTTAGTTTGTTACTAAATATTGATAATATGTATAGAATTTTTGACAACATTATTAAGCTAATCCTACTAAAATTTTATCAATATTGATAATTTGTTAAAATTTTGACATTGTCAAATTTTGGTAAGGTTCATTTTGCCACCAATCTGAACAGAACCATAAAACCAATATAATATTCTCATGCTGGTGGAAACGCCACTAGCTGATTGGTCCATCTTTTACCGTTATTAACACGTGTCCAGTGTCCTTCCATCATTCGGCTACGACGCCCCTAGCACATATAACTCGCAAGCACTGCCGTTGTCAATCACGAATAATGGGAATAATAAGGGCGTGTGGCCTCTCGTGTCTCACTTTCTTTTCTTCTTTTTTTTTTTGATAAATTAAGCATCATTCCCTTTCTAGATTTCTCGCTTGGCCGCCTTGGTTCATGGGCAATGGCATTGCCTTTGCACTGTGCGGTCCGAGCTATCCGTGCAGTAAGCTCACGTAGTCACATGCGTACGCATAAGCTGAACCCGTGACATGCATGAAAATAAAAGAAAATGAACAAATACAATATACATATATTTTAGGGTTTAGGGCTAAAATACAAGAGGTGATATAAATACTTTCCTATCGAATCTGCAACTTTTAACTTTCTAGAAAGTCAGTAAGAGATTCCAACAAGTATGAGTAGCAACCTGTTAAATTGGAAACATATAGCTTAACCACAATGATATCTTATATTTCTTTAAAAATGTAAAAACATTTTCACAAAAAGGTTAAAACTATTAGTAGAAAGTAGGAGAAGGCTATGAAGCGAACATCTCTTCTTTGGGAGAGAGGGGAAGATCTATGCAGGACACTTAACCCGTGCCGGAGGACTGCATACAACTGGTACAACCTCGTGTGGTACATTTTACATGTTCTTACAAGTCTGATGGTACAGTTGACCTAGTATCGAATTATTATAGATTCCGTTGGCAGCCATTGCCCCCCCTGCATGTCGTCTGACACGACCGAAACGAAACTTTACACCCCCTAGCAGCCCCCTGTCGGCATCGAAAACGGAGGGAAGTGCGCGTGCTGATGTTTAATCATGCGATGCCAATGATGTAAGCGCGGGCCCGCAGGTGCAGACAGGTTCGTCGAGGGTTATGCAAGCTTTAGAGGTGGGGGGTACGATTGTGGAAGATCGCGTGGAGGCAGGGGTTGGAGATGTGATGCAAGGATGCAGGGAATTGGGTGGAAGGTTATAAATATAAACATTATTTTATTCTAATTATTATAACTATTTGTATTCAAAACTTTAAAAATTACCAAAGCGGTGTAGAATATTTTAAAAAATAAGCATTTATATATTAAAAATATCATCTTCACCAATAAGTTAAAATTTAAAACAAACGAACTTATCTTTTCGCTTATGCTTATACTTATCAGCCTAAATTTCAATTTTTAACTCTAAATTTAGAGTTGATTTTAGGGGTTTTCATTGTAGTTTATTTTTCAGCATTTGCTTTTAGATCATTAAGAACATATATAAAAGTTTTATTCATAAATTAATTTTTATTTGCAAATATTATGCTCCTAAGGATGGAGCTGAAAGTTATTCCACACCATGATATTCTTCCTCGGTATTCTACAAAATTAAAACTAGAACACACTAAAGGATACTTAACGTATGATATTTACATCAACTTTATAAGTCTTAAAACTATTTGCTTTAAAAGAATCTCATATTCCAAATAATATCTAAATAAAATATTACAGGCTCAATTAGCAAGCGTTCCAAGAGGCACGTTCTTTTTGTAGTTACTAGTAATCATGTACGTGCAACGCACGTTTGATATAATGTCATACACAATATGCATCTATGCGTTTTAATAACTGACAAAACTAAGAATTTGTTGGTTTTACATCAATTCCAATAGAACTGGAGTACATAATTTTGCAAAATATTACTCGTACTGCATTTGGGATTTGCAGGGGATTGGAGCTCTGGCCAAAACCCCACTTCAGTCCATAGATTTGCTAATAAAAGATCCAAAATTTTGGAGAAATGAGTTCATGGTAGTGAAGTGAGTTAGTTCATGAACAAAATCACTAAACTGAATATATTTTAACGAAACTTTTGAGCATACTTCACCTCAATGGAGAATAAAACTCTCAGCATACTCATATAAGGATATGGTGTATAGGCTGAGCACTCGCATATTGTAGCTACGAAGTGCTTCACCTTGGGAAAGAGGCCTGCCCTTTTGGTCCAAAAGATCTTCAGGCTGCCAAGCTGAAAATATAAAATATCAATTATTGAATCAATTTATCTCATGTAACTCGTGAAAAATTGATGGAGATGTACCAGATTAACATGGAGAATGGGCACATCACAAGGTAATCTGCATGTCTATTTCAACTGATATGATCTGTAGGTTCTCTTACAATGCCTCCATATATTTACCAAGATATTATCTATAATCCTCAATTAGTTCATTTTTAGAATTTTGATTAATTGTATCAGCATTATTATCATTTATCTTTTGAATTCAAATATTGATTATTAATTTAATCCTACTCTGATCCCATGCTCAAACTAAATTAGACACATTTTTCCAAACACAAAAAAGATATAATTAAATTTGGTTTGAGTCAAATAATAGCAGAGGATTCGAGTAGACTACCTAATTGAGTGAAAGCAACTGAGGTGGATTTCTGTATTCCCCTATATTAAAATGCATGGCATTGACTTTTTTCATCCACTGATTGAACATAACAAAAAAACTGCTCAAATGAATATGTATGGCAGAAAATTGACCCTGATTAATCATAGTAGCATGTAGCAAGGCAAGAATTTTGGATCCTCTAATGCCACAGGGACGTAGTTCAGCAATTCAACGTAACAGTGACATGCAGCAGTGAATTAGTTTTAAAAAACATCACTGAAGGCTATAAACTCAAGAACTCAACCTCATCTGCCACACCATGATAATCGCACTAATTAAGCCTAGCATTGCTTCTGAACATCCTACACATGGATTAACGATTGACTCTATACTTAAAATCAGCAATATATTGAGTAGACAATACGAAGAAAAATAATGCAACATAGTGGTGACCTGGTTGGCTGGTTTCATATTTGGACGTCAGAACACCATCACCATCCATGTTGCTCACCTATTTGCACCAACAACAGAAAACACCAAGTATACATCCATAAGAAAAATACAAAGACCATGAATTACTTCAGAGGAGTGCATACTGGAAATAATCAACCAAAATATTTTATTTGAGAAATACGCAAATGATATATTCTAATGAAGCAGCACACCTTCTAACTTACAGATCTTCTTCGCCCCTCTTCTTTAAAGTGGCCCCAAATTTCACTGTAAACAGGTTAATATGGATTTGGAATATCTAATATATCTCAAGTGGAAGACTTATGGGAAATATCAACAGAAAGATTTATAATATCATAGTCACCTTGAGTTTATGCACATTCATATGGAGTTCAACCAGCCCACTTGTGAGCAATGTGTTGTTGGAGACAAAGATTACAAGCGATATCAACAATCATTAACATGGCTAAAAAGCTCAAGTAATCGACATAGGCTCCTCCTTGATTGAGAGGACATTGCAGAGCTGATTTCCAATCAAATTCAACCTGTAAATTCTAAAAGTGAACAGGGCTTCTAAAATGATCTACCACTTATGATGTAAAGAGTTACCAATATGTGCATTGTTTGTAATGTAGTATAAGCATGAAAATGAAATCGATTCATAATAAATCTGAAAGCCTGCTCTTCTCTGTGATACTTGTCATGATAAACTTGACCAACAGTAGAAATTGAGTCATAATTACCTTGACCTCTCATGAGATAACTTTCATCATCGTTGTCATCATCACCGTCTATCATAGCTGCTTGTGGCATTAACACATCATGGGTGGTTAAATGGCAATAAAATATTCAGTCAAGCATTGACAGATACATAGAAAATACAGTAACAGAAAAACATTGATGCCAAATTCCTTGCAATATGTCTAGAGGCTGCACATTAGCATTGTGATTTATTCTATTACCATCCTCACCATTAGTTTTTTTGTTGCACTGGCAGTGGCAGATTCAATACCAGCCTGAGATTAGTGTGGCACATGTTGGATATAGGTTGAGATTGGTGTGGCACGTGTTGAGTACAGGTTGACCCCAGAGGGTAAATAGGAGAATATTGTACAGAACAAGCAAAAGCAAATAGCATAAATGTGCAAATATCTATAAATGGAGTTTGGTCCTTGTAGGAATTACCAGTAAGATCTATAGGCCTTTTGGGTTCGCAACAAAGACCCACTCAGTCTTCTGTGTCATTCTTATGCAACCAATATTTATTACTACACATACGCAGGTATGAGGGTAAGGACAACAATAGAAGTATACATCCTACAAGCAAAAACATGGAACAATGTTAAACTTATATTGCTCATTCCAAAAATCAGCCCAGCATTGTTGAATGCTTGAATGAGCTGTAGAGAAAAATTCTTATGGCACTGCTATATACATAATCAATACCTATTAGACAATAAAACTAAAGGATGTGTCCACGTAGATGCATGATTAAACCGGCTCTGATTCAGATTATTTCAGTGGCATTTAATTGAACACCTACTGGGCAAAATACAGTATGTCCAGACAATAAAGGAACTTGCTTTGTCAACCAAATTGCAGAAACAAAACAATGAATTGGAAGGGGGAGAAGAGATTGAAACCACTAAATGATATGATTCCGGTAAATGGCAGTAGAACCATGGTGCCACCAGAGGCAATGCCCTCCACTGCGTCGCAGCGTCAGAAGTGCCACAAGTGGAGGTCCCTCACGACACGATGGAGGCGGTGAATGGGAAGCTCCCTTTGGTGCGACAGAGGGAGGCCATAGTGTCGCCGGGCGCGGAGTGAGTGGCAGCGGTCCAGTGCGGAGGAGGGCATGGCGGCCGCGACGGCAAGCGGGAAGCCCCTCGTGGCCTTCCCTTGGCGTAGTAGGGCGTTGCGTTGTCGGGCATTGCTGGCGGCGGTGACTGGCCAGGAGCCCATCGTGGCCTCCCTAGGCATGGGGGAGGGAGGAGGAGGGAGGAGGCAGCGGGGATTCGTGGCGGCGGAGTCATCGCGCGGGCAGAAAGTGCGGTGGAGGAATCGGGTGAGATTGGTGATGATTTCTACAGCGAGCAGGATAGCGATTAACGGATGAGATTAGATGAGATGACGGATGGACGGATGAGATGAGATGTGATGATTTTACCTGTAGAATTGTTAGGGGTGAACTCCTTTTTATACTAGATATAGATAATTATATAATGTGATACTCCATAGACTGTCTCGCTAGCTATATAATAACATGACGTCTAGCTCTTGCTGCAGTCCAATCCTGGCTAAGGAGCCCTCAGCCAAATAACTACTCCCTCCGTTCTAAAAAAAAAGTCAAACCCTAGGTTTCCGTGTCTAACTTTAACTGTCCGTCTTATATGAAATTTTTTTATAATTCGTATTTTCATTATTGTTAGATGATAAAACATGATTAATATTTTATGCATGACTTGTCTTTTTATTTTTTTTCATAATTTTTTCAAATAAGATGGATGATCAAACATTGGACACGAAAACTAGGGTTTGTCTTTTTTAGGACGGAGGGAGCAGTGGATTTGTGGTGTGAAGTGTCGAATTAGCCAAATGGGAGTGTCCATCCCAATCATGATCCCCAAGCGCTGAATGTGCATATCTTCCTCAATTCCCAACGCTGGTCTCTTCTCCAATGCATGCCCATCTTAGATTTTTTTTTCAGATTTTCTTTTTTTAAAAATCAGAGGGTAGGCTAGGGCCCAATGAAGCCTACCCCCTTGCACGAGCAGCTAGCATCCATCATCCGTCCTATCACTGGTGGAGAAACCATCTTTTGTCGGTCGGCCGAATTCCACAATAGTCCCGGATGCAATAAAAACCGGGGCTAAAGATGATCTTTAGTCCCGGTTAAAAAGGGTAACGGGCATATTTGATCTTTAGTCCCGGTTCAAATGCTGTCAGGGCCTGTCAGGCAAAGTTAACTTTAGTCCCGGTTGGTGTTACCAGCCGGGACTAAAGATCCCGGGGATCTTTAGCCCCGGTTGGTGTTACCAACTAGGACTAAAGTCTCACCCCTATATATATATGTCTTCTTCCTCCCCTAGCTGGCCAAGCAAGCTTCAAAATTTCTTCAAAAAAGAGAGGGGAGGTCATGCCAAAATTTCTAGTGAATTTATTTTGGTGATTACTTACAAATCAGAGGTGCCTAAAAGGTTTGCAACTTCATCCTCCAAAGTTTTTTTTTGTCATATTACATTTGGAGCTATGTTTTGCATACTTTTTTGTCTCCAAAATTTAGTTGTAAGTTGATGAGAGAGAAAATTTGTGTGGGGAAGAAAGAATATATAGAAATTTAGTTGATTTGCTAAAGAAGGTTTTATAAAATAGTTGAGAAGGAAAATATAGTGAAAGTTAATCTTAAATAATAGAAAACAAAGTAAAATTAAAATTAAAAGAAGTAAAACACATTAATAGAAATAGTAAATAAGAATTATTTGGTGTAATATTTTATGATTTTTGTATGAATAAAGATATGTCATTATTGTATGACTGTTGAAAGAGTTTGTAATTATCTTATAATTATTGTATGACTGTCATTATTGTAAGAATAATTATTTGTGTACGATTTTTTTTCATGTCATGTAGATGGATCGGCAATGGATGTACGCTGACCGGCGGTCCAAAGAGTTTATTGACGGCGTGCATTATTTTTTGAGAGTGGCCGAAGCTAACAGGCAAAAGGGTTTTATTTGTTGTCCATGCAATAAGTGTAAGAATCAGAAGGAGTATTCTGCATCCAGAACTATTCATTTCCACTTGTTTGAGTCGGGGTTCATGCCAAGCTATAATTGTTGGACATCCCACGAAGAGCAAGGTGTTGAAATGGAAGAAGATGAAGTGGAAGACGACAATATTCCGGACTTTGCTCAGTACGTTGGATTTGAAGGAAATCAAACGGGCGAGAAGGAAAGGGATGCTGATGGTAACGACGTTGCGGATGATCTTGGTCAGATGTTGCAGGATGCCAAGGAGGACTGCGAAAGTGAAAAGGGGGCCCATAAATTGGACAAGATGTTAGAGGACCATAGAACGTCGTTGTACCCAGGTTGCGAGCAGGGGCACAAAAAGTTGGATACCACTCTGGAGTTCTTGCAATGGAAGGCAAAAAATGGGGTTAGTGACAAGGCATTTGGCGATTTATTGAAACTCGTCAAGAACATTCTTCCGGAGGGAAACAAATTGCCTGAGACAACGTACGAGGCTAAGAAGATAGTCTACCCTCTAGGACTGGAAGTTTAGAAGATTCACGCATGTCCGAATGATTGTATCCTATATCGCGGTGAGGAGTACGAGAACCTAGAAGCATGCCCTGTTTGCAAAGCACTACGATACAAGATTAGACGAGACGATCCAGGAGAAGTTGACGGGCAGCTAACAAAGAAGAGAATTCCTGCTAAAGTGATGTGGTATTTTCCTATAATACCACGGCTAAGGCGTTTGTTCAGGAACAAGGGGAATGCTAGAATGATGCGATGGCACGCTGAAGAGCGTCAACAGGACGTGATGCTGAGACACCCCGCCGATGGTTCGCAGTGGCGAAACATCGATAGAAAATTTAAATACTTTGGAAAGGACGCACGAAACATACGGTTTGGTTTGAGTACGGATGGCATAAATCCTTTTGGAGAGATGAGCAGCGGCCATAGCACTAGGCCCGTTACGATGTGTATCTACAACCTCCCCCTAGCTATGCATGAAGAGGAAGTACATAATGATGCCGATTATTATTCAGGGCCCCAAGCAACCTGGTAACGACATCGATGTGTACCTAAGACCACTGGTCGAAGATTTTAAACTGTTGTGGAAGAAGGAAGGTGTCCCCATGTGGGACGAGGACAAACAGGAGGAGTTTAACCTACAAGCGCTGCTGTTCGTAACCATCAACGATTGGCCTGCACTTAGCAACCTATCCGGACAGTCCAACAAGGGGTACAAGGCTTGCACTCACTGTATGTATGAAACAGAAAGTACGTATCTTAAGCACTGTAGGAAGGTTGTATACATGGGTCATCGTCGATTCCTTGCAGCAAACTACCCGGTATGAAAGAAAGGCAAGCACTTTGAATATAAGGCGGACCATCGTACGAAGCCTAAACATCGCAGCGGGAAAACAGTGTTTGCTATGGTTAAAGATCTTAAAGTAGTGTTTGGAAAGGGGCCTGGAAGCCAGCCTATAGAGAGCGAAGATGGTCACGCGGCGATATGGAAAAAGAACTCTATATTTTGGGAGTTACCCTATTGGGAATTCTTGGACGTCCGCCACGCAATCGGTGTGATGCACCTCACTAAGAACCTTTGCGTAAACCTTCTTGGCTTCCTAGGTGTATACGGAAAGTCGAAAGATACTCTGGAAGCACGTAATGATCTGAAGCATATGGAACAACGCGTCGACCTTCACCCGGAACCAAAGGAGAAAGGAAGCCATTACTTGAGTCCAGCCAGCTACACTCTTAGCAAGGCAGAGAAGGAAAGTATGTTTGAATGCTTGGAGAGCATAAAGGTACCATCTGGATACTCCACGAATATCAAGCGAATAATAAGCACGAAGGAGAAGAAGTTCACAAACCTAAAGTCTCATGACTGTCACGTATTGATGACACAACTGCTACCAGTTGTAATAAGGGGTATCCTTCCAGACAATGTCCGGGCAACAATAACAAAGCTATGTGCATACATGAACGCAATTTCGCAGAAGGTCATCGATCCGGATAGATTAGAAGCCCTTCAGAATGATGTGGTGCAATGTGTCGTCAGTTTTGAGTTGATATTTCCACCTTCATTTTTCAATATAATGACGCATCTGCTTTGTCACCTTGTCAAAGAGATCAGTATTTTCGGGCCTGTGTTCCTACACAACATGTTTCCTTTCGAGAGGTACATGGGCGTTCTGAAGAAGTATGTTCGTAACCGTGCTCGTCCAGAGGCAAGTATCGCCAAGGGTTATGGAACAGAAGAAGTCATCGAATTTTGCGTTGAATTTATCGAAGACCTTCGCCCAATCGAGGTACCTGAATCACGCCATGAAGGGAGACTACGGGGAAAGGGAACTCTCGGAAGGAAAGCAATAATGACGGTAGACAACAATTTATTCCGTAAAGCCCATTTCACGGTTCTACAACAATCTTCATTGGTAACTCCTTACATCGAGGAGCACTTGGCTCTAGTTCGCGCCAGGAACATCGGCAAGTCCGATGCATGGATTACACGGCATCACATTGATACTTTCCCCGCGTGGCTACGACAACATCTCATGGGTAACGAGTCGATCAACCAACAACTTGCCTTCCTAGCGAGGGGACCGTCTGGGTCGATCGCGACATTCCAGGGATATAAGATCAATGGGTACACATTCTACACGAGAGCCCAAGACATGAAGAGCACGAACCAAAACAGCGCTGTTCGTGTCGATGCCATGGGACACAATTGAACAACTGACACGTATTACGGTGCCATCGAGGACATATGGGAACTTGACTATGATCCTCTCAAGGTCCATCTGTTCCGGTGCCAATGGGTTAGGTTGACTGGTGAAGGCGTAATGATTAATGACAGTGGGATGACAACGGTTGACCTTAACAAGGTTGGATACTCGGACGAACCTTTTGTCCTTGCCAATGATGTAACGCAAGTCTTTTACGTGAAGGACATGTCTAGCAAAGGAAAGAAGGGCAGAGGGCCTGATGAGCCTAAGCGTCACGTGGTTCTCCCAGGCAAAAGAAAAATCGGCGGAGTTGAGGACAAGACTGATGGGGATTACGATCAGTTGGATGGCACTACAACATGCTATTTATTCTGTGACGGAATCATTTTGTCGCGGGTCGTTGAAAATTCGTTACAATTCACCATCCGTGATGGTTTCAGATTTCGTTATTGATCGAGCGTGATTGATTAAATCGACCGACGATTCTTCAAAACCGTTGCGGATTGAAGTGATCCGTGACGGTTTTTGACCGTCGCAGAACAGTCCAAGGCCCATGCAGCCCAGTCCAAAGCCCAGTTTTAGCGATGAAAATAAACGTCGCG